CTATTAGGTTGGAGGCCATCGCTAGTAGGTTGGAGGTCATCACTATTGGGTTGGAGGCCATCGCTAGTAGGTTGGAGGTCATCACTATTAGGTTGGAGGCCATCGCTAGTAGGTTGGAGGTCATCACTATTAGGTTGGAGGCCATCGCTAGTAGGTTGGAGGTCATCACTATTAGGTTGGAGGCCGTCGCTAGTAGGCTGGAGGTCATCACTATTGGGTTGGAGGCCATTGCTTCTAGGTATAACCCTTATGTAGGAGGACTTTGGACATTTGCAGGGTGCCGGGGCATCAGGTTCGAAGTCTCCTCCAACGAACACATCTTCCGTCCATTCAATGGGTCGACGCTCCACCCCCACCGTGTGTAGAGGGTACACCGGCCAGTCTGTCCCATGTCTCAGTTGGGCTGGCAGATTGACCCATCAGTTGAAGTGGTAGATGTCTGCATTCTTTCTGGGGCGGCATATATTCCAGTCCCATGCTCATGTTTGGGCCACGTCCACACGCCTGGGATCAAACCCAGCCCCCACTGAGACTGTACAGAAGACTTGGAAATCCCCTCGACACGTGGGTCGCGCGGAGGTCGAGTGACCGAAATGGAGTGAAGCATTGTGCTCGCTTTGGGTGGCCCAATCGAGGAAGCTCCATCAACAAAAACAAGCGAGCTGTTATCAATTGAAAGATCTCCTGCATCGATCCCTGGATCACATCCAGACAGACTGTCTGGCAGACAGTGGCTTTTCAAACAATCATGACCACTGTCTGGCTCGCCTGGCTGAAATCAAGAATCATGATCCTCAAGTCTTCAAGTCAAGAAGAACCAAGCCAAGTCCTGTTCCTAGCAGAAGCTACGAAAGTAGCTCCTGGCAGGTCCGACCCCATGGCGCCGGGGGCCCGCACACAGCGGGCGCGCCCCGCTCGAAGGCCCTGCAGCAGTTCCACCGGCGCCTGGCGGTGTCGACTGGGGAAGGCCAGTCGGCATCACCAGGCGCATGTGCAGCCTGTTTGTAGAAGCAAGTTGGTTGTGAGGTAGAAGCACACTGTCAGTATATACTAGCTATATACCTGATAGTGGAAGAGATGGATGACTGAGAAGGGAAGACGTAGATACCACACATTGCATCTGAGCCATGGCAGGAAAGAGCCATGATCCGTGTCCCAGGCAGTTCTTCATCACCCACATCCACTGGTCACAACAGCTACCATGAGAAACGGGGGATGAGTCCAAACATCTCGTGAAAACCTTGTGAACCAGGATTCCGTGAATACTGTATCTTCTCAAATAGACTTGGGGCCCCTATTTCTTAGCCGTGAAGACGAATCAAAAAGGGCGTCTATCTTGAATTGTGCAAGACCATTATGCCTTTGGGTCTGCCTTTTGACAACGGTGGGTTTGCGGTGAAACCGCACCCCCAAATGCATAGAGAAGTTGCAACAGAACCCCCCAATGAATCGAAAAAAAATCAGAGGATCTTCCACCTTCCAAGGACCGCAAGAACAGTCCCGAACTGGCCAACGGAAAGGCACTGCGTCTGGCCCCCACTCCCGGGCCTCGCCTTTTCCTCCCGCCCGTAAAACCACGGGTCATTGAGCCGCAGGTGCTGTGCCAGGGCGTCTCGTTCCACCAGGGCGTGCACCTCATCCGGGTCACGAACCAACAGAATCACCTGCTGGTCTCGGAAGGTGGACCTGACCCAAAGTCGGTGTGGATCCGACGACTTCGGGTCTGCCTGAGACAGGCGCGTTAGCCAAATAGTCTCTAAGGTTCGTTCGCCACCCAACGAAGTATTTGGGATTGGTCCGATTTTCACCCCCACAGAATACTCTGTGGGCCTTGAGGAGGTCGGTCTCATTCTCCACGGGATGTGCCACCAAAAGACCTCGCGGAGCTGCACGCTCCGTGATTGTCCCATGCGCGAAGAGGAAGAATGCGGAGCTTTGGAAATTGGAAGAGATGATTGAGAAAAAAGAACAAACACCCAGACCTGCAAGGGGTGGTTAATGGACCCCCCTTGACCTCTAAGGCGCCATTAATGGACACCCGGAATTCGTGCTTTAACACAGGATCTTCTGAAATGGATATTCTCTTCTTGGTCTTTCCACAGTGGATTCATGACTGTCATTGTGCGGCTAGCTCATGGATTAGTGGGCCCAGTGGGCTCTCTTATTGCTTCACAGTGGTTGGCAACGTTTTCCTTGGCTGAGAACTGTTTCGAGTGGTTGCTACTGACTACCGCTTAGTGGCCGTCTTGGTGGGTCAATCACCAAAAAGACCACGGTTTCTCCGAGAATGGCCCATGTTCTTGCTCCTGCTGGAAGATGTTGGTCTCCTCACGGCCCTTTCGGTGGAAAACCTGGGTCTCCTGCGTCTACGGTGCCCACGGGGTTTTGGGTCGTTCATGCCGTGTTCATGCGGTCCCAGCCGCATCCATGGAGCGCCGGCGGCTGTGCATCCCAATGCTGGAAGCGCTTCAGCGGCTCCCCCGGACGGCGCTCCTCGTCCTGGAGTGGCCCGGCGTGGGACGGACGTTCGTAGCTACGAACGAAGCTACCGTGAGTATAGCGATGCCCTCGTGACTACTAGCGATGCCCTTGTTACTAATAGCTATGTTCCACAGTTGAAAGCAGAAGACGCAGCGCTGCTTGGAGAGATGCCAAGCTGTCGGTGGTGATCCTCGTCCCTGTCGCCTGCCTGCCTTTCGGTCAACAAGTTGAGAATCGTTTTTCATGCAGAAGGCCCTAAGAACTTGAGGTGTCTTCTGAAGCGTGCCCTTTTTTCTTGAGTTCTGCAACCCCAAAAAAGTCACATGTGAAGCTTGCTAGGCAGCCCCTGCTAAAAGGAAGATCGCTATTGTTTCGCCTGTTTGCACTTGTTTTGTCCACTTGTTGCAGGTCCTTTTTTCTCCTGTCGCAGGGTTGGGGGATCATTCCTACCTTGTATGTGTCCAAATAGCGCTTTGATAAAATCCATAGGAACGCCGGTCCCCAACTGCCCAGCCAGTTCACCCACCAAGCGCAGCCAGTTCACGCACCCACAACTGTCATCCAATAAAAACCGGTCGAAATGGATCAACCAAGGATCCGTTTGCATGGACGACCTCAAAGCCAGAAACAGGGAGACCCGGTCGGAGACCACCCCCCAGCCCGAAAAATACACACACAGTCGGGTCCACAACCCTTCGGCCCTTCGTGACGAGCAGTAGCTGAGTAGCCCAAAATCTGTTCTGCAAACCACTTGCTGCACTTGCTCGTTTGCTCCACGGAAGGAGCCTTGGCAGCCTTGGCTACTGTGCTCGTCCCAAAAAAAACAAAGATCCAGAAGGCAAAGAATCGAACCCATCGTGTGCTCTTCCAGCGCTCCAGCAGCTCATCGCGCGCTTGGTGGAAGTTCACCACGAACTCCTGACACTTTCACTTCCGTGGTTAAAGTTTGAGGCTCCAGGTCCCATCGCAGGGTTTTCCGCGAGATCCCCCCACCCGGTAGAAAGGATGTAGAAACGATGGTGTTCTTGGCTTCGGCTTCACGACCTGAACTACCTAACATCACCATCCGGTGACCGTTGGCCGGTCTCTCGACACGTCAGGCGATCCGTCGCGATCCATCGAGATCGGTCGATCGGTCGATCGTCGAGTTCCCATCTCGAAAGAACGTCACTGACCGGGGTTCTCTCTTTAGAGAGGACGGTGACAGTAGCGAAGAAGATTTTGTTGGACTGGAGCAGATCCCTTTTTTTTTCAGATGGGATGAAGGGAACCATTGGCTCCTGAAGTGGCCAAAGGCTGCAAATGACTCCCAAAAACATCCACACTTCCTGTGACTGGATGGTGGGGCAAAGATGGTGAACAAAACTCCTGCGGAGTTAACAGACAACTGGAGCAAACGTTGAACTCCGGTCTACATTGGTTGGTCTGAAGCTACAGAAACAGAACCGCAAAGACAGATTCAGGTCGCCCCAACCAGGCTACGGCAGCGTGCTTCGCTACCAGTGGGTGCACTGGGTTGGAGATTGTGGAGGAAGATCAACGATGGACCAAAGATTGCTGTACATGAGATGGAACATATTCTTATATTTACGAAGGTGTGGTGCCCCAAGGTGGTGAGGATCATCGCCATCAATACCAGACCAATTGCAGCAGGAAGAAGAAAGAAAATGCTGTTTACCATCTACTACTACTACTACTACTACTACTACTACTACTACTACTCCTGCTACTACTACTCCTACTCCTACTGACTACTCCTACTCCTACTGACTACTGACGAGTCACATGGTCCTGCCTCCAACACACGACCTTCGCTTCTTCCCCCGATCCCCGTGGTGAACACCGTTCAGCCCATCCCGTCCGGCCACGGGGCCCGTCGCGGGTCCTGCGCGGCGAAGTGCTCGACGACGTCGCTGGACGTCGCAGCCGGACGCAAAAAGCCATAGCTTTGCACCTGGAGCCATGGCGGTGTTGCACCAGAACTGGTGTGAATGAGTTCATGTGGCGGTGTTGCACGAGAAATGGTGTGAATGAGTGAATGAATGGTTGACTTTGAGGGGGGATCACTTCAAGTAGGACTTGGAGCACTCTCCCAACATTTCGAAGTGTTGGGTGTGTGATCCTTCCAAACATGAAGGCTTGTCGGCGATCGTCCTCCACGGGTTTTTCAAGTGTTCCCCGGTTCTCTCTCATCAACCCCCAGAAGCTGTGACCATGTAGCATAGTGGTGCTCTTGGTCCCACAAGTCCCTCTGCTTCAGAGGCTCAAAGACCCAAAAGTTGCGCTAACACAAGACCCTACACTCTGACTGACTCACATGGAAGTGGAACATGGCTCCTGCAAACATCCTCCTCCTCTACAAACCGGTGGTCTTCGATTTCCATCTTAGTTGGAGGGTAGGAAGTACTGTTGACAACGGAAGAGGTAGTTTTCATTGTTGCAGGTGGTGCTGCAATACATGTTTCTGGAGTCACACTCAACACTGGCCCTGTCTCACCTCGATCTGCAGCTGCCGCTGCAGGCAGAGCGCAAAAATCACGTCCTAGCAATACCAAAGGATGTTGCACTTTTGGTGGAGGAGTCCGGCACCTGGAACTATAGACATGGAGCGACAATTAAAATGGTTTTTCTTGAATATTTGCACCTCCCTGAGGGTCTGGAAACCGTTTTTGCTGGAACAGACTGTGATCGACAGACCGTGGAAGGACTCCGAGCAGCGCAAGCGCATGTTGAGACCTCCCAAGCACCAGCCAGGTCTACAAGACAAGGTCGTCAGCCCCGAAGTCCCCCCAGGTGGACCGCAAGGGATTTTAGGAGAGTGTCCCTTCATGATTGATCAATTGATCGATCGATCTACTGATTGATTGACCAGGCTTGATCTTTCAGGTCCACCTGACAAAGCTGCCACGCCGTTCTCATCTCCTCCATGGCATCGCCCCTGGTCATCTCCAGCATGTCTTCCTCAGGCACAGCTCCACTCGCGGCGCAGCGGCGCGCAGCGGGTCGTGGGTGTCGGACTGGTCTGTCGTGGGGTCGGGCTCCAGGACCCATTCCCATATCTGCCAGCTCTTCAGGTGGAGGTTCACAACAGAGCTCTTAAGCGACCTGGTTGACCTTCTTCGGTTTAAGAACTCCTTCTCACAACGAAATGCACCTTGCGTTTAAGAACTCAAGTTCCACTTAGAGAAGTGCTCTTCCGTGGTTCCACCTGGTCAAACACCTGCTTCCACCTGGTTTAGTTGCTTGTTCCCTTACGTGGTTCCACCGGTCGACCTTGTGACCTTGCATAAGCCTGAAGCGGGAACCGCACGATGGCAGGCCTGATCCGGGGACCCCAAGCCAAACAGGCGGGCGCACAGTTGGCCACCTTCGGCAGAAGCCCCCGGCTCACCACGTAGCCTCGCAGCGGTTCACCGCATCCGAATTGGATCTGGGCTGCCCAGATGCACATAGATGCAATGGTGGCTCCGTCCATAGATGGGACCCAAAAGCAAAATAGAGGTACTTGATATGGGTAGGACTCCCGATCGCCCCTGGCTGGGCAGACTGGTCCTAGTTTTCCCAACTGTCCAAGGGTCGGAATGCCTGAATGTCTCCCTAGTGTCATACAAACCAATATAATATACAGCACTTCCTGTTTGTAGAGGAACATGCCGTCCACTTGCATGATTGTACAACCAAACTGTTGCTGCAGGAAATAAATATGGAATCGTGTGAACATCCTTTTTGGTTGGACCTTGTTTCAGAACTCCCTCAAGAGATTCAGAACCAGGGTTTGAGCCAACATGTTCGAGCGTTTGCTCCACAATCTCCATCCAGGGTGTATGATACAGGATATTTAGAACCAACATTCGATAATGTGAGACTTCTCAAATCCATGAGGTGCACGATTTGGTTGATCAACAGTATGGATTTGTGAGACCAAAAAGCCAATGAGGAAGAAGTTGCTTGCCAAAAAGAATGCAAAGACCAGAAATGATGAAGAAGGTCCCACCATCTCTGCAGGGGCTCTTTGGGGACGCGACGAATCGCTTCAGCGCTCGGCAAAGGAACCCATCCACGACTTGTTTCCTGTTTCGGAAAACGGTTGCCCTACCTTCGGGTTAAAACCAAATCAAAATGTCGAAAGAAAAACAAAGAATGCCGTGCCCTTGGCACTTCTGCCATTGCCTCCAGATATCCAATCCAATATTTTGAGCGCTTCCGTTGCGTTCGGCACCGCTGGTGTCCCTTTGAACGTTTGTTAAGCGGTACTTGTTCCTAGTAGCGAACCTTGTTACTACTAGTAAGGCACCTGTTACTACTAGCGTGGCACTTGTTCCTAGTAGCTTAATTCTTTAAGCTGGAGATAGGATGGGACACGATAAAACTCGGAATCCTACACATCAAATCTGCAGAACCAGGATTGCTACCCCCAAGCAAATGGACTTCAGTAAGTCCCGCGATGGAAATGATGCTGAAGGAAAATGGACACTAACACCAAACACAATCCAGCTAGGTGACCCTTTGCTTCCTTGGGGCAAGGGGTGGTATGGCCCATCACAAGAATGGCTTCATATCTGTTAAAACGGCCCCTGGGCCGATATCACGGCGACGAAGCGACGGATGTCTCTACTCGCCTGAGCCGCCATGTCCGAAGTAGAGCGCAGCCCACCTGGGTCGCGAGTCGGAGGAAAACCGAGTGGCTGAGTGGCAGGGGTCCTGAGTGGCATGGGTTTGGAGTGGCAAGGGTCCTGAGCACATCGCATCTTCTTTACTTTCACACGTCCTAGAGACGGAAATGTCAACCAGGTTCTTGGTGTTGTTGTTGAATTGAGGTACAGTATAGATAGATGTAATGAATTTCCAACCCACACATCAAGTCCAAACTCACAGAAACACTGTCCGTGTTGCTTCCAAAGCCTCAGTCCGCTCAAAGCCTTCGAGAAAAGAGTCGCCGAGCGGCGAATCTCTCCCCGATGATCCCCGATGAACAAAAAGACAACTCCTGCAACCACGAGTTAGTAGTAACAAAGGGCATCGCTACGAACGGCGCGATCGGACGCTATTAGGGGCTCCTGGCCTTACCAGGAGCAAGAAGCTAGTAGTAATGCACTTGTTACTAGTAGCGATGCACTGCAACCAGTAGTCATCGATGCGTAGACATCCAGAACGACCAGAGGGGGAAAACCGCTTCTCAGGTGCCAACCAAGTGCGTCCGCAAACCCACTTTGCTATGTCTCGAAAACGACTACTGTCTCCCCAAAGGTGATCAACAAAGAATATATACGAAGATACTCTTTCCTGAACTAACATTCACACTGCCAGAGTTGGCTTGAAAGATGATCTTCTCCTTTTTCCAGGGGTGGTCTATCCTACCGCAGATAGGTCCAACTGTTGGTCTTTGTGGAGATTCCACCAATCATATCAAATTCACACCAACAACCTCTTCGGAAAAAAAAGGAACTCGAGCCAGCGGACATCTCGCGCAGGTGTCGCGGTGGCACGATCGCGTGCACCACACCTGGGCCGAGGGGGTGGGCGCCGATGGGGCGCCGTAGCCGTTGGAGGCGTCGAGTGGTGACGCAAGGGCATCGCTACGTTCGTAGCTTCTTGCTACTAGTAGCGATAGCCTCCACCCTAGTATCGATGGCCTCCACCCTAGTAGCGATGGCCTCCAACCTACTATTGACACCGAAGACCGAACCGAGATGCATGGAATGACCTCATTCTGCCGCAGAATTCGGCATTTCGAGAAGCAACATATTCCAATGACTCACGACCCTCCCTGCATCGTCCAAACCAGCCGGTCGACCCAAGAAGTGCTCCTCGCGCCCGTCGAAGCAGCTCAGCCGATCCGCCACCGCGCGCCTCATCCGGGAAAGCCGCAGGCCAAGGTGCGAACGGACGCCTTCACTCACGGAGTCCCCTTACGGAAGCCTTCACTTGGGAGTCGAAGTCAGTCTGAACAATGTGCCTAAGCTGATCTCTTCTTAGGTCTCCGGGGACCCTCTGACCACTGCTTGGGCCTTTGATTCTTATCCGGCCCAAGGGGCAAGTTCACGTAGGTGTCGGAATCTGCCTGCGCGGAGACGCAATCCCTTTTTGGCGCGGCGAAAAAAGAAAAGAACAGCCGGTGCTGTGCAGGTTCTCGCCTTCAAGCGTTGAAAAGAAAAGGTTTGGACTCCGACCGTGAGTTTGGAGGTGGGCACTGCCTCAAAATGAACAAGTCGATCCAGAAAAGGGATCCGTTTAAGGGCCCCATTTCCTTAACCAAAAAATCCAATGATTGAAGCAGGAGTCGGCACACTGAATGAATTCACTGTCTTTGGAGAACTCTTCCATGAAGCGATGACAGTAGGTGGCCAGAAGTGGGTGGTGCTCCCCTCCAAAAGTCTATGGCCAAATCATGGAAAAGTCCGACTTCAGGTGACTTTGTCCTGAAACATCAGTGACCCCGCACCTTGGATTCTTCCGTATACCCGGCTGAGCTGCAAGCCCGGGCCTTCA